GAAAGATAAGAGGAGGGTTTGGGAGAAGTTGCTCGGGGCTAGGGTTGTGTATTTGGGGGAGGCAGAGCTGGTGCCGGATAAGGATGATAGGGAGCTGGAGCTGGAGATTGTTAGGAGTCTGAGGGGTAAGTGTTTGGAGAAGGAGAGGCCGGTTTCGCTGGCGATGGAGGCGTTTCCTTGTAATTTGCAGGAGCAGCTTGATCAGTTCGTGGATGGAAGGTTGGAATCCTTGAACTGATGAGAAAAGAAATTAGCTTTTATATGATAATAGTTATTTGCACCTTAATACCCAAAGTTTCTAAATTTCTTTAACAATTTGATAGCCCAAAATGCACTAAACTTTTATTGAATTTTATTCAAGGATATCAACATAAGAAAGTGTATGAGAAACGAATTTCCTTACAAAATTTCAGTTTTTTTGAGTTTGAAGATAGCCAAGAACAAAGGGGTTTGAGGTATCAAGTTGTCAAATTATCAGATGTATGATTAAACTAAATCCTACATTTAGATGCTACTATTATTATCTGCACACGGGCTACCCTTGTCTGTATCTTGAATGAACCCAGCTTCTTTGGTTAGTCATGTACCAGGGCTTTCATCTGAAATTATATTCTGTAGCCATAATAATGTACCCTCAAAATATACGATGTAGTAGCGGTTGTAAAGGCCATTGACTTGTGCTATGCCTGCTGTTCTTTGCAATTTCTGGCACAATGCTCGCCTTCAATTGGATGAGGATTCTAAATATTCTTATAACCTGTGCTTTGGAATTCCAACATGTCCGGTCTTCAACTTATGCTAATAGTGGAACAACCTGTTAGTATGTCATTTGCGAGACGTTTGCTTCTCTTTTGCTGCTCTTCTATTTGGTTGCTTACTTGTCATTCTCTAGAGAATAGGAGTCATACATTCACCAAATTGGAGAAAAGATTATTTCTTGTTAATACCATCTGGATATTTTTCATATAATAAGCCTTATCTTTGTTCCTTCCAGTTGTTTTACATATTTTTTATCTTCTCATATATAAAGCAGTTTTGTATGACAAATGCGTAAGTCTCCTCATAAAATTACTTTACGTGTCCTACACTTTTACGAATTGAACACGATAGTAGTTTTTCCTTTTTTGATATTTTACTACATAACGTATGTTCTCATGACAGAATTGATGGTGGAACCTTAAGGTCCTATACCTCTCACTGGCCAGCTCAGCGTTGGCAAGAATATGAACCTCTATTGAATTACTGTCGTGATAATGGAGTCAAGCTTGTTGCCTGTGGCACTCCACTTGAGGTACATATACATCATTTTGTTCCTCAGTGTGTTACAAGGTAAACACAACGTTCCAACATTCTCACNATATGGATGAACTTTTACAAACATGGAACATAAAAAACTTGCAGTTGCAGTTTACTATGTCAGGGGAAGAAATGCTTTATCGTTACTTGTTAAGTGGATCAAACCTCTTTGATAATTCTCTATGATGTCATGGTGCTTCATGAATCTCTAACTGAAAATGGACATCTCTGATTAAGTTAAGTTAGTGGATCTTAATCTTTAATGTTTTATTTTTGCTAATTATTATGGCTTATACCTGTGATATTCTTTTTATTTTGGTAGAATCAAGTTCATTTCTAGTGTTCTACTTGATTTTTTTAGGCTTTCCTACTTTACAGGGTAGTTATATTTGTAATGAGTTAACAAATACAACCTGCAAGCAAACAATTCTGCTTTTAAGTTCATGGCTATAAATTAACATTTGGATCTTCCTTCTCAATTTTCAACCATAATGTTTGAACTCTAAAAGATTTTGTACCTGTGTGCACAGACATACATGCCCAAGGACACGACAAATGGTTCTTCTTAGATTTAGTCCCTCTAACAATGAGACCAAAACTCCGAAGTTATGGTGATGGTCAAAGATTGTAGTTTTATATTAATTCTAACATGCCCCCATAGGTTGAACGACCAGGGCTAAACTTTGGACTCACGCAGCGGTGTTAATTTTTAGAAAATCCGTTTAAAATTTGTGGCTGGTGGAATTTGAACCTGGGTTGCTCTGATACCATCGTAGATTTAGTCCCTCTAACCGTTGCACCAAAACTCCAAAGTTATGGTGAGGGTCAAGGATTATAGTTTTATATTAATTCTAACAGTTATAATTTTCTTTCAAATGACCAGGTTTTAAGAACTGTTCAAGCTGAAGGAATCCGAGGACTACCAAAGGCACAAAGGAAACTGTATGCTCCTCCTGCTGGTTCAGGCTTCATCTCTGGCTTCTCTTCTACATCTGGAAGATCGTTAATTGACAAGATTACTTCAAATCAGTCTGTTCCTTTTGGTCCTAGTTCGTACCTATCTGCTCAGGCAAGAGTTGTCGATGATTACACAATGTCCCAGATTATCATACGAGCAATATCAGATGGAGGTTCTGCAGGCATGCTTATTGTTGTAACAGGTGCAAGCCATGTCATTTATGGATCAAGAGGAACTGGAATTCCAGCTAGGATTTCAAAGAAATTGCAAAAGAAAAATCAAGCTGTCATATTGCTGGACCCTGAAAGACAAGACATACGTAGAGAAGGAGAAATTCCTGCAGCTGATTTTCTGTGGTATTCCGCTGCTAAACCTTGTACTAGGAATTGCTTTGATCGTGCTGAAATTGCTCGAGTAATGAATGCAGCCGGTCGCAGGCGAGATGCATTACCCCAGGTAGCTTATTACACTTATTGCTACTCATACATTTAATTAATATAATTCTTTGGTGACTTTATGGCACATATTCTTCCATTTGCTTGGCCTACTAGCTTTGGCATGTACTGACACCTTTATGGGTGATGGGGGAGAACAGCCATGGTGAAGGAATCTTATTCTAATTAACATGTAAAGCACGGAAACTACGGTATTCCTTTTTATTTTTTACAATGCAGAATTTGTTGTGTTAAACCAAAAAAGAAAAAAAAAATCCTAAAGCGGTACGAGTTAGTTGAAGGAGCCAATAATCTTTTTGCCTATTGTTGATTGATCAAATTACCATACCATCTTGAGGAACATTCAGAGTCATCTGATCTAGTTGACTTTACTTCCTTAGCTATCAGTTGTTATGTAGTATGATATTTCTGTTATGGTCCAGTATCAATTTGGGTTTGGTTCACGACATTTGGTTGTTATATTATATGCGATACATGCCTTAATCTCGTAATTATCTATATGTTAATTGTGTGATGTTTTTTTCTTCCTAGAAATTTGTGACTAAGGTAGAAGCATACATTGATTAGCATCTTCACATGCATCCATGAACAGCTTATGGCCTTACACTGCATACAGGGCTAACTAGTCTTTCAACAGGTCGATGTAAATTGGATGTGGAGGTCAAATTTTTTTTCCCTTATACCTTTTATGATCTTAGATGGTGCCGAATACTGCAAATCATTCTTTTAGATGGCCCATCTTGTGTGAAATTACTCCTTGCACCCAAGGGTAGAGTAATCTGGATGGAACCTGAACTCTTTGCATTCAAAAGTTTTGGTGTTTATTACTATATATCTGGCTTGTTTATTGTCATGAAATCCAAGAGTGGTTTGTGAATAGTGCTTCATGCTAAAAGTTGAAAAGGATATTGAATGGTACAATCTGCGTCACAATTTTCAATCCAGATGAAATGTAAGAAGTGAAAAATTATGATTTGTGTGTGCCAAATCTTAACAATCATAATTTACAAAAGAATGAACTGCCTGTTTCATGTTTATTTGATGAGATCCTCTTCACAAAAGATTTAGCAACTTTATATGCCTCGGCCTGCATGCTTTGCACTCTGGATCATTTTTCATTGGAAGACATGTTAGGCATCAAGTACCTCATGTTTTATTTGACTTCTATTGTTTGTATCCAGATATACTGATCCCTTCATTTGTCTGTTAACCAGGATCTTCAAAAAGGACTGGATCTTGGTCTTGTTTCACCTGAGACTCTCCAGAACTTTTTTGACCTTGAGCAGTATCCTGTTATTGCAGAACTAATACACAGATTTCAGGTATGTTATTGTACTTTGATTCCGTTTCTCTTTTCTGATTATGGTACTTCTATCAAGACGTGCATAATTATTTGGGTTCTGGAATATATCATTTGTATATACAAGCATAACTATCATCTGAGTCTGTTCCCCACCAAGATGCTCTTTCCTGTATAGATCTTGAAGACTGGAAACCTTCATTGACGACTGATGTTTTAAATTTGAATTGGAGATTGTTTCTTTCAGACCTAACATTCTAGGAAACTTTCATGGAGAATTCTTATATTTTTCTACTGCAATTTTTTTTTTGTTTTGTTGTTGTGTATAACATTCTCTACTCTTCTTTTGTCCTTTTTCTAGGCATTATTACAGTATTACTATAAAATTGAATCTTAATATGTTGAGGTAGTTAAAGGTCTACTTAAAGGTGGCTGCAATGATTTAAGATATCTTCAATCTCTTACAGCACAAGGATCCGCGACGAAACCCCTGGTTCTTTTTCCTTGAATATCAAATGGTGAACTACTTATGATGTTAATTGTAGAAAGGGAGTAGAGCGGTGCAAGCATGGTTCAAGAGCAAATTATATTGCCAAATAGTAGGTGAATCTCATCCCAGATTCAGGGTAGGGGGGCAATATTTTTTGATAGGATTATTAAATCTTTATCCAATAATTTGGTTTCTTTTTGTTGTTTTTTGTTATAATATGTATGCTAGCAAATGCTAAAGTGATGGCATATCTTATTGATATTTTGTCAAAATATGTATTGCTTTCTAAATGCTGTTGTTTGAATTCGTCTTAATGCAGGGTTTCCGAGAAAGGTTACTGGCAGATCCCAAATTTTTGCATAGGCTAGCTATAGAAGAAGGTATATCAATAACAACGACCCTTTTGGCACAATATGAACGGCGTAAAGGTCGATTTTTTGAAGAAATAGATTATGTTCTAACTGATACCATCAGAGGCTCAGTTGTTGATTTCTTTACCGTGTGGCTTCCTGCTCCAACTCTTTCATTCCTTTCTCAGGCTGACAGCAGTTCTACCCCTGAGAATTTGGAATTACTGAAAGGTCTTCTAGGATACTTTCCAGATAATGCCTTCCAGAAAAATGCTGTTGGAACAATCTGGAGTACAAATCAGAGGATTGCCGCAGTGCTTATTGGTGGACTGAAACTTGCTGGGGTAGGATTTATCTCTAGCATTGGGGCTGGATCTATTTCACATATCCTATATGCTATTCGTCGAGCTTTTGGAACTGATTTAAGTTCAGATAAAAACCCACGAAGAACTCCCGTACTTAAATCAGCAGTTGTTTATGGCTACTTTCTTGGAACATCAGCAAATCTCCGGTACCAGGTAATTCAATTTCTGTTTGCATGCACACTTGATTTACTTGAAACACCCTCAACATGATTTATAGCTAATGCTACATGCATTGCCTTCTGTTTTCTGCTGTTACCTGTGTAGAGTATGTTGTTTCATCTACCAAATAGATACATTCACAAAATCGTCCCATGATGTGCATGCTCGTTATTATGTTCAGGGATGATATGCGTGCTCGTTATTATGTTCAATCTGGATTAAAAAGTCTGAGAGTATAAGCTAGTTTTGTATCAGAAAGAAATTTCTCCATAATTACCTGACATGTTCTGATTCCTTATGGTTTGAGCTTGTCATGGATCATAACTGACATATTGTCATCTCTCACTGCTAAACAGTAGTAGGCTTTAAATTTTTTCAGGACCTATAACTTCAGTAAATAATAATCAGGTTTGAGACTGCATAAATATGGTTTCTGTAATTGACACCTTCCAAATTGTTTGCCAATATCTAGTAAAGTGTTGTTAAAGTCCTGCATTGCTAATCAAAGTATTCAATCTGCAGATTATTGCTGGACTGTTGGAGCACAGACTTTCAGACTATATATTAGCTTATTATAATCAACCGCAACTGGTGAATGCACTTTCTTTCGTCGTTCGCACAATCAACTCATACTGGGGAACACAGGTTAGGCTTACCACACATTTGTCTACTCCTTAATTAGTTTCCTGGAAATTTTGCTTATAAGCGTGATGTATAATAGGTGTGAGAAAAATACGTAATCTCAGCCTAGCTGCCCTACATTTTGTCAAGACTCTGAGTACTCCTAAGTTATCTTTCTTTTAGAATGATTGTTATGCTTTTTGTAGTTTGATTTTCATAATGTTCATTGAGTGGTAAAGAGTTGAATGTGCATCTTTCAAATTCAGCATCATTACTCATTTTATGTGGAACTGTCTTTTGACATTTCTTCTGTCTTTTGACATTTCTTCTGCTCAGTAACACCTCTCCTTTACTGGTCATCAGTGTAGCATTGCTGGATGAACAGAAAGAACTAGTGGGTCTGCTTACTTTTCAGTTGTTTAAAACAAGCTGTAGTTAGAAATAATGGAACTACCAAAAAAATTGGTTATCTGGCTTATATTTTTGATGTAGCATGCTGAGGGGTGACGGCTAAAAACATGGATGAAGAAGCAAAAAGAACAAAGGACAAGAAAATTAAGATTTTGGCCTCATGTCTGAATCAATATCCTCATGCTAATTAAGGTCTCACACCTTCAAAGTACCTTCAAAGTATAGGGTTTCATACCCAAAATTTTTCTACACTATCTGTAGAGATCATAATCTCTTCATAAGATCTTCATACCTCTATTAAGAAAACTAATCTTTGGTTGTTTACACATCAGCAATAAACGAAGCCCTAACAAGAAGAAATCTTATCATACTAAAATAAATCAGATCCTTAAAAGGTTCCTAAATCAATTGATGCTACTATATCATGTGCCAAAAAAAGTTACTAACTATCCGAGATATAATTCAACTTATTATGTATCCTAGTGGTAATGTTCCATAGATTAGGTCCCTGGGAGTTATATATTTGACAGTCCTAGTTCCTTTCAGAAATGATTTTCTTATTGCATGCAAGGGGGCATAATTTTTACATTCTATGGAAATTGAAAACTACAATCAAAATTACAGCTTCCTTGACATTATATGCTATAGTTTTCAAATCCAAAAATTTCTATATGTTTCCATACTTGACAACTATTTCTGGTTTACCTCATTGTAGCGATTACTGATGTTTTATATGTTACATTATCTAATCAAAGATACTAATATCATTCATAATTATTTCTTCTCAAATTGGTGCAGCAATGGGTAGATCTTGCACGATCTACGGGATTACAGCCAAAGAAGAGCGAAACAGTCGAGATGCAGGTTGCTAATTCCCCTGACATTCCCCTGTTGGAGTGCAATTCTACAGAAGTAAATAATGTAGACGAAAACAAGAGTAAATCAGGAGACAGTTCTACTTAATATAGATACTTATGATGGATCTTATAATCTGTATTCTCTGGAGTTTATGCACCAGAGGGAGCTTAGCCAAAGGAGTTCAAAATCATCGGAGTGAAGAGATGAGCCGAAATTAAATTGGGATGATCTGGTAAAAATTTTGAGTGGAGGACGTGCACACATTTTGTTCTTCAGATTTCACTATACCTGTCTGATTATATAGATATTCACACAATGATAAAGAAAGAGATTATTACACGATAAAGACAGCACAATCTTATTATTGTAAAGAAAGGCGATGCTGTATCCAGTTTTGCTCTGCAGTGACAACATTAATTTTCAAATGTAATCTTTTAACAAGCTAAAAGAGGCAGGTTCTTATTTGATTCCCTCCCTCCTTTTTTCCCCTGAGTCAATAGTTCTCATCTCTCTACCAGTGGGTACCACTGTTGGAATTTTTTACTGTACTACCCGGCAAAGCAGCTATGGGGCATTCTTGACCCGTATCGGATATTTAGTCGATTGAATTATGACTTTGATAACAGGTAACAAGCTATTATTATTTGTCGAATCTATGGGAAAAATGCATGGCTGTGATTTTGAAACATTGTGTATCTGATCTTTGGAACGTATCGTATCTGGTACCCGACCGCCATGTTGTGTCATGCCATTCCTTAAATGAGATCCCTGTCATCCTTTTCCACTTGAGCACAAATTTGGCTTTGGGAATCATAGAGATTAGAGAACCTCATCTTCACACTATGTCTAGCTACAACACTCAATAGGGCTGTTTTATATCATGATAAAGAGTTCATATACTATTCGAAGGAAGTGGGGGGTGGGGTGGGGAGTCATGGATGGAGCTCTTGATTTCTCTATAAAATGTCTTCTTTTATCATATGCCTTGCGACAAAATGCGCGTACTCATCACAAGTTCATAACGGTAACTCGAAAAAAGAAACTTCTAACATCCAAAGAGAGATGGAGGTGATATAACAATTTACGTCTGTGACTGGTATCCTGAGAGGTGTCGATATGGTTTGTAAACGATGATATAAGTCTTGTTTAAATTAGTGCGCTAATCTTGTAAGGGAGAGAGAGATGATCCCAAACCAAAGAGCAATTCTGATGAAAATAATTCAAGGTGGTTGATTGTAATCGAAACACTTTTTTAAAGATGGTTTGCGTATAAATTACAATTTAAAGGCAGTTTTTCGTACAATTATCCTATTTTAGAGGCGGTTTACGTGAATTTTTTTTTTCTTCTCACAGGCTCAAAAAGGCAAGGGGCTTCGGACCCACAAATCAATCCTATCCGAGACAAGCATTATCAAACTTGGTCATACGGATCCGGTCCCTTCACCGGCTGGAACGGGACAGTTAACCCACATTTTAGTCTCGTGCCACACACGTGTCATCCTGACATGCACAAGGTTAGCTACATATATAAAGGGAGAGAAATTTGCCATCCTCTCTAATTAATTAGTTTGACCAAAACTTCAACAAAATTGAGAGAGAGAGAGAGAGAGAGAAAAATGGCACAACCAAAAATTACATCACCGCTCGCACGAGAGCGGGAGATGAGCTTCACGCTGATGAGTGGCCACAAGATCCCTGCAGTAGGTCTGGGCACTTGGAAGACCGGTGACAAGGCATCTGAGTCAGTCTTTAGTGCAATCACCGAGGTAATTATATACACAGTCTATCATCATAATGTTTGACGTTCTCATTTTGGTACCCCGAAGCTTTGCCCATTTTTACACTTTGATACCCTCGTCTAGATTTCGTTAGTTTTATGTTAAATTTAGATCACACGCTTAGCACGCGATACCCTGCCAATGTGCTACTGGGACATTTAGATTTTTGGATCGCTAGCCACGGTAGAATAGATCTATGTAATACAAATTTAACAGAAAATCTAACAAAATCCGGGCGGCGGTATTAAGTGAAATGGAAATGAAACTTTGGTGTATTAAAGTGTTAAGAGAACTATTTGTGAGTATAGAAGTGAAATCTGCATTCACTACCAATTGCAGGCTGGATACAGACATATTGATACAGCAAAAGCGTATAAAATCCAGAAAGAGGTGATGCTCACTAGCTCATACTACGTACTTTACCTTCTACACTATTATCTACTTCCCACATAAAATTTATTCTTTGAGTTTCAGGTTGGTGAAGGTCTCCGGGCTGCTATGCAAAAAGGAATTGACCGAAAAGATCTATTCATCACATCCAAATTATGGTAATGGCTCGTTAAGAAACGAAGCATATATGAAATTAATTAGCATAGAAAGTTCCGAAAGAGTTGTCGTTCTTGTTCGAATTTGGATCAGTTCTCGGAATTCTGAAATTTTCGTGGTGCAGGTGCACAGATTCGTCGCCAGATAGAGTTCGGAAAGCACTGAACAGTACACTTGAGGAACTGCAACTTGATTACCTCAACCTTTATCTGGTGAAAACAATCTCCAACCAACGATATTGTGCTGTTCATATGACTTGACTTCTTATTAAAGTCGGTATTTGTAACCAAAAGGTCTACTAATTCAAACTCGGTATATGTTTGTTCTGGTACATGTCAAACATTGTAGGTTTTTCGTAATAATTCAAAAGGAAATTTACTATATATTTAGGAGTAAATTTCGTGAAGTTTGGCAGATTTTGAGACAGGCCCGCATAGCCTGCAAACAGTGTTAGACGAACTGATAAACGACCAAGATACCCTAATGGTGTTAGGTGAAAGGTGTTTTTTGCCCCGCATTATGGGCTATTGGTCATTTCGACGCACGCGATTTTCATGTGCACAGTTGGATGATCTAACGATGTCAGTTAAGGGGGTACCTGAAAAAATTTAAGAGGGGTTGAGTGACCTTTCTAAACTAAGTTTAGGGGTCATCTAAAAAAAAGACAAAATAGGGCGCTTTTGTGAAATTTACGTACCCTATGTTTAGCGTAACGATTTCATTTGACAGGTTCACTGGCCCTTCCACCTTAAAGACGACGCGCAAAGGCCCCCAAGAGCAGGCGACGTTAGCGCCTTCGACATGGAAGGAGTGTGGAGAGAAATGGAGGAGCTGGTTAAGGATGGAGTAGTCAGAGACATCGGCATATGTAACTTATCGGTCAAGAAGCTAGAGAAGCTACTGAGCTTCGCTCAAACAAAGCCTTCAGTATTGCAGGTAAACTAATTAACTAGCTAGCGTACGTCAATGACTCGATCGGTTTTACGAAGACAGCCATTTGATTCATGATCTCTGTGGGTTTAGATGGAGATGCACCCTGGGTGGAGGAATGATAAGATACTGGAAGTATGCAAGAAGAATGGGATCCATGTAACCGTAAGTTTAATTTCTCCTAATTAATAACATTTTTATTTATATTAAATTTCACTCTTCAGTAGTTCTGTTGGTCTGCATTCAGTATAAATCATGAAAGTTGTTCTATTTGTTCTCCAAAATGGGATCCTTGTTTGATTTTCATTATTATTATTTTTTTGTGTTATTTTTGGGTCACGAAATCTACTGTGTATCGGCAGGCTTATTCGCCACTGGGTTCAACTGATGGTCGGGACTTGGTGAATGATTCTACTGTTCAGAAGGTTTTTAGTTAACTCACTCACCCTTCTTCATTTACTTCTGTTTAATCATCTTTTCGTAAATATGTTAGTTCAAGGGATGTAGACTCAAAGCTGAAATCAAACAAATTGTTGGATAGCAAGTTTTCTAATCTGTTTTGGTAACATGATTCTTAATCTGTTTTGGTAACAGGTAATTAGGATTCCTAATTTGTTTTGTTTTTTGATTTTAGAATTCCTAGTCTGTTTTGGCTTTAGGTTTTTTATATATATATATGGAACGTCTTAGAAGAGATTAAACATCAGAAAAAGAGGGTTTTGAGAGAATTCTTCAGAGAGATCTTAGAGAGATTAGATCCTATTTGTGGGCATCGTAATCTTCTTTAATATTAATCAAAGAATTGTCCGGTGTGGCTCCCGAGGACGTAGGCACGATTGCTGAACCTCGTTAAATCTGATGTCTTCTTTCTTGTTTACTTAATTAGTAGGAAATGCACAAATATGTACTTAATTACCGAGACGAAACATATATATAGCTCGACCAGCGCTAATCAGCTAATTTGGCTTGTGCATGCAGGTAGCAAACAAGCTGAACAAGAGCCCAGGCCAAGTCCTGGTGAAATGGGCATTGCAAAGGGGAACCAGCGTCGTCCCCAAGTCGACGCACGCGAACAGGATAAGGGAAAACATCCAAGTGTTCGGTTGGGAAATCCCCGACGAGGATTTCAAAATGCTGAGCAGCATGAGCGATCAGAAGAGGGTCGTCAAGGGGGAGCAGATTTTCGTCAACAAGACAGATGGTCCGTTCAAGAGCGTAGCTGAGCTCTGGGACGGTGAAGTCTAGCTTAGTTAATTAATTTCGAGTTTAATTTAGCTCTGAATTAATTATACATGTTTTTTTTCTTCTTTCAATTGATCCCGTACGTGAGTGTGATTTTGTGGATTGTTAGCTGTGTTTGGTTGGTACTGAGGATTATATTGATCCTGGCCGGTGCAAGTTACCCCATTGCATGCGTAGCACAATATGCTTATAATCTATATATATATGAATGCAGTTTTTTTTTTTTTAAGGAGGGGGAGGATTTCATAAATTGTTTATTGAGAATTAATACGGATAATCTTGAGTAACTCCGAGGTAATTACCTTCGTTAATAGAGGACTAGTAATCTCACAGAATTATTCTTGCCGATGTACAGATTCTAATAATTAAGATCACGGTTTACCGTGATCGATGTAAATAAATGGGATAGCGGAGCATTAATTTTTTTTTTTGTTGAATTACTCGGCTCATGAAACGCACCAGCTAATTAAAAACTCGATCGATATGCTCTCGCTTCTTTTCATAAGCTATAGCCTTGATCTGCTATTGTACAGAGTCAACATTCAAAGCCCGTTGAATTCTAGAGGTGTCTACACGTGGAAGGGTGATCACCCGAATTCAACGGGACAGTTTCCCAACACGTGTAGATGGAGTTCCGAGGCAAATGCCCAAGCCATGCACGCACACGCGTGTCCTCACGAGCACACGTGTCATGTACAGGGGGACTAGTCACCACCTCCCTTGGCCACAGCTAAAACAATTTAAAGAAATTAAAGAGGGAGAAGCTAGCTCGAGCGAAAGAGAGAGAGAGAGAGAGATGGCACAAGCATCAAGAAGCGCAGCAGCAGCACGTCAAGCACAAGAGGAGAGGAGCTTCAAGCTGGTGATCAGTGGCCACAGCATCCCTGCAGTAGGACTGGGCACTTGGAAAGCAGCTGGTCACGGTGCATCTGAGTCGGTCTTCACCGCGGTCACTGAGGTGCGTAGGATTACAAGCTGGGATTAGTAACAATCCGGTACCCTCGGCTACGGCCTAATTACAAGGGTGATCCTGGAGCTTGCATATCTACGTGAATAACTCTGAAGTTAGCTGATTATTATAGTTACACCGATAACCCTAGAAAGTTGCTTGTCGTCTCAGCTCCAGGTTTACCCTCTTTAGATACCCAAACTCCAAGGCCCATAAATTACACTACATATATATAACTCAAGGTACCAGCTGATTGTAATTAATGTACTTTGTTCATTTAATAATCTGAATGACTAAGTTATTAATCCGTTAAATAAGTTTTATTTTAGTCATTGTGATCAGTTTTTGTAATCAGTTTTAGTGTTTGGGAATAACAATGATTTTGACTATTTTCTTTATAATTAGAAGTGTTAACTCTTAATTGATCCCGTACGTGAGTGTGATTTTGTGGATTGTTAGCTGTGTTTGGTTGGTACTGAGGATTATATTGATCCTGGCCGGTGCAAGTTACCCCATTGCATGCGTAGCACAATATGCTTATAATCTATATATATATGAATGCAGTTTTTTTTTTTTTAAGGAGGGGGAGGATTTCATAAATTGTTTATTGAGAATTAATACGGATAATCTTGAGTAACTCCGAGGTAATTACCTTCGTTAATAGAGGACTAGTAATCTCACAGAATTATTCTTGCCGATGTACAGATTCTAATAATTAAGATCACGGTTTACCGTGATCGATGTAAATAAATGGGATAGCGGAGCATTAATTTTTTTTTTTGTTGAATTACTCGGCTCATGAAACGCACCAGCTAATTAAAAACTCGATCGATATGCTCTCGCTTCTTTTCATAAGCTATAGCCTTGATCTGCTATTGTACAGAGTCAACATTCAAAGCCCGTTGAATTCTAGAGGTGTCTACACGTGGAAGGGTGATCACCCGAATTCAACGGGACAGTTTCCCAACACGTGTAGATGGAGTTCCGAGGCAAATGCCCAAGCCATGCACGCACACGCGTGTCCTCACGAGCACACGTGTCATGTACAGGGGGACTAGTCACCACCTCCCTTGGCCACAGCTAAAACAATTTAAAGAAATTAAAGAGGGAGAAGCTAGCTCGAGCGAAAGAGAGAGAGAGAGAGAGATGGCACAAGCATCAAGAAGCGCAGCAGCAGCACGTCAAGCACAAGAGGAGAGGAGCTTCAAGCTGGTGATCAGTGGCCACAGCATCCCTGCAGTAGGACTGGGCACTTGGAAAGCAGCTGGTCACGGTGCATCTGAGTCGGTCTTCACCGCGGTCACTGAGGTGCGTAGGATTACAAGCTGGGATTAGTAACAATCCGGTACCCTCGGCTACGGCCTAATTACAAGGGTGATCCTGGAGCTTGCATATCTACGTGAATAACTCTGAAGTTAGCTGATTATTATAGTTACACCGATAACCCTAGAAAGTTGCTTGTCGTCTCAGCTCCAGGTTTACCCTCTTTAGATACCCAAACTCCAAGGCCCATAAATTACACTACATATATATAACTCAAGGTACCAGCTGATTGTAATTAATGTACTTTGTTCATTTAATAATCTGAATGACTAAGTTATTAATCCGTTAAATAAGTTTTATTTTAGTCATTGTGATCAGTTTTTGTAATCAGTTTTAGTGTTTGGGAATAACAATGATTTTGACTATTTTCTTTATAATTAGAAGTGTTAACTCTTAATCCTTCTAAATATAATCATTCTAAATCTTAATCCTTCTAAATATAATCATTATAAATAGGAGTACTAGAAAACCTATCATTCTAAATAGGAGTACTAGAAAACCTATCATTTTGAGGTTAAGTTGAGGTTAAGTTTCCTTAACCCCTCACTTAACCCTTTGCCAAACTGTACCCTACATCATCACAAATGTTTTATAAGTTTGTAGCGCGTATGCTTCTATATATTGTTACAAGAATGCTACTACATGTTCAGAGAGCTCTTAAGCAAGCAGACATGGGTTTTGATTGAAAATTCAGTGTTTCACTACTAACTGCAGGCTGGATATAGGCATATTGATACAGCAGCAGAATATCAAGTCCAAGAAGAGGTGATATGATCCGCAACATTTTTTCAGAAGCAAACAGAAAATTATTGTTTCCATATGCAGGCCTCTCATGAATAATTCCTTGAAGTTCAGGTTGGTGATGGCCTGCAGGCTGCTTTTCAAGCCGGAATAGATCGGAAGGATCTATTCATCACGTCAAAGTTATGGTATATATGATCAATGCAAACATTTTGTAACTGTAGGCTCCCTTCGGCAAAGGGCTGGCAAAGGGTTAAGGAAGAGGGATTAATTAAGCAGAATGATTAATGTAGTTAGCCCATTTGATAAACCGAAAAACTAAATTATTAACGTATTAAATAAGTTTTATTTTAGCTCTTATCATAAGTTCTAGTGTTCGGGAATAATTAGGATTTTGACTATTTTCTTTATAAATAGACGGGTTAACTCTAAATCCTTCTAAATAGGAGTATATAAGTAAACCCCTTAAAATTATTGAGGGGTAACTCATTTTAATCCTTCCAAAGGGGTTGGTTAGCTTAATCCTTATACATTTTCTATGTTTGGCAAATTATGAAGGGTTAACTCACTTTAACATCTATATAGATTTTTTGTGTTTGGTGGGATAATTAAAAAGGGATTAAGTCTCCTTAACCCATTGCCAAAATGTCACCTTAGGTTGTATTCAAACATAACGTATTTCCTAAGTAATAACATATGATGAAAAGCTCCTAAATAGCTCCCTATCTGGTTAAGATTTGGATCAGTCCTTAATACCCACAGTATGTTCATTGTAATCTCCGGTATTTCCTTCTTTTACTTGCATAATGCAGGTGCACGGAGATGGTGCCTGAGCGAGTTAGAAAAGCACTGAACAACACGCTTCAGGAACTACAACTTGATTATCTCGATCTTTATCTGGTCAGATTCTTTCGATAAAATATTGTTCTATTTATATAACTTACAAGTGTTTATTCTTTGTTATTATATAAATATTGCTCTATTTATTTATATAAATTCAAGAAGAAACATTCTTCTTGAATGTAAATGTAGATTACATAATTCACATGACAGATTCATTGGCCCTTCCGCCTTAAAGATGATGCACAAAGGCCCCCTAGGGCAGGTGATGTACTCAACTTCGATATGGAAGGAGTGTGGAGAGAGATGGAGAAACTGGTGAAGGAAGGAGTCGTTCGAGATATTGGGCTGTGTAATTTGACAGTCAAAAAGCTCGAGAATGTAATAGGGTTTGCACAAACCATGCCTTCGGTGGTGCAGGTAAAATAACACCAAGGGTTTTGGTCTATGAAAAGGCAATAGATAGTCGAAGCAAATTATGCTAATGATTTACGATTTCTATTGATGCAGATGGAGATGCATCCCGGTTGGAGGAATGATAAGATGTTGGAAGTATGCAAGAAGAATGGAATTCATGTGACTGTAAGTTTTTTCCGTTGATTTTTGTTTCTCTAGATAGGTAGCATATCCAAAGAGCAAAATCTAAAATTGAATCAATGATGTTGGACATGCGCACAAGACACATCCTTTGAACTATTTGCAGGGAATACTTGACTTGATAACAGTTGGTCACTCATGAGTTCTACTACTTGCAGGCTTATTCACCATTGGGTTCAACCGATGGTCGGGATCTTATTCACGATTCAACTGTTGAAAAGGTTTTCTTTCCCCACCCTAGGCTTGTAACTGCAATTGTGATTCAAACTATTAGTTTACCTTCACTTGCAACTTTTTTCGCAACATCAGTTGCAATTACAAGTTGTTTTGTAAAAACCTACGTATACAAGCTACAGTTGCAACGAAACACACACTTGATTATAATTCTCAACTACTTACGCATTGTGCAGGTGGCGAACAAGCTCAACAAGAGCCCAGGTCAGATCCTAGTGAAATGGGGATTACAAAGGGGGACCAGTGTCATTCCTAAATCAACACACGCCGAAAGGATAAAAGAGAACATCCAAGTATTTGGATGGGAAATCCCCGAGGAGGATTTCCGAATGCTAAGCAGCATTGGCGAACAGGTGAGCTGCTATAGCTCTCTGAAAGTCTATGATTTTGAATTTTTGTTATACTGTGCAGGAGAGAGTGTTGGAGGCGGACGATCTTTTTGTGAACGAGAGTGACGGTCCGTTCAAGAGTGTAGCTGATGTATGGGATGGTGAAGTCTAGCTTTGCTGATTTCAGTCTGAACTTGAGTACTATTGAGTTTTATGCAAGAGCCATGGGATTGTAAATATTAAATACTAGCCGTGAATCGTGTGTAGTAAGAACTATGGATAATAAGGATCAACTCTACAATACATGTGCGCACGAGCACGCGCACATGTGAGCATCCTCAGATTCTGAATGTTGCTTGTTTTCTCCATGGATTGTCGAGCTATTATGTTTTTCGACTCCTTTTTTTATGTTACCATATCACATAGTTCGTGGAGGCTTATTTGATATTTTGTGGTGATGCATACAATTTTTGTGGGGAACAAATAACGATATCTATATGGATGTACGTACTAATAAGATAGTTAGGATGTACAAGCAAATACAGGGCGGTTATCCGCAATAAACTCTAAAGATAATGGAGTTCCTCACAAGTTAACTAGTCTCAATCCCCATCTATGTTCCGTTGACCTTTGGCACATATGCCCCCTAAGCACAAGTTCGAGTGTGCAAAGGTGACAACTCTCCACGGGTTGTCGAAATTATCAGCAGGATTCCTTTCACAAGAGATTTATGTCCTTGAAGTTTTTTCTTCTTGATTGAAGCTCAACTGCCTCTGAAGCCTATTCATCATCCTCTGAATCAAAATCTCCTATCTTTACATCAGCATCTTCTCCATGCTGGATACAGTTGTCGAGCATCGATAGAACATATTATATGCTGCGTTAGAAGAAAAGAAATTGTTACCACTTCACTCATTGCACAACTATTTTCGCAACACGAAATAACCATCTAGTCTGATTTCATGAAAATTGGAAGGGAAAAAAAGAGGGGAAAAAAAGAGGGGAAAAAAAATAGATAAAGCAGTTCCAGTATCTCACAATTTATGGTTTTGATAATATGGCGTCGCTTGAGGATTTCTTCCTTTTTTGTGCATGTTCATTTTTACGAGTTTATGTACTCACAAGTTCGCGTGTGTGCAAAAATACATGCTGCCAAAGATATAGCAGATGCAAAACTGCAGTAGTGCAGTATTGTCTAGCTTACTAAGATTACAAATTGATCTCATAGTTCACAGCGAACGGCTCTTGATATATACCTACAAATTGCATGAAGAACAATTCTCAATATATGGAGAGATCAAGCAACCAACCATACAACATTTATATTTTATCTTAGCACATGACATTGATTTTTGAGTCATACAATTATATTATGCATTCTCTCCAAGAACTATCTAGGTATTGATAATTAAGTAACTACCTGTACGAATGAGCTGAGTTTCTGTAAATGAAAAGGATGTCAATTAACTTTAACAGTTTTAAGATTTTCACCAAATCAATTTATAAAAAACTACCAAGATATGAAAATAGTGAATGTACCTTCTTTCCTTTCTTAAATCGAGGGGCTCAAAATTCACCATGTTAAACTGACCAACCTAACACAAAGTAGAAAATAAAAAACATATATTAAGAATATCAGCAAATAAAGCGAAAAGCAAACTGAGAAACTGCAGGTTGCTAATTTCTGCCAAAACACGATCTTTTTCCCGAATAAATGCCACATTGGGATGATCATAACCTACATTTTTGGGAAAGAAAATTTTAAAAAATGCTAGCAAGGAAGGTAAATACCAAGTCTGTCAAAGCTTTATTAAGCTTCGCAAATGGAACAGGAATATTCTGATTCAACTGTGACAACAAAATGGGTGCCTCTGGATTTAAGAAACTATAGCCAAATATAAGAAAAAAATGTCAGATACAAAACAAGCGCATACAGAGGTCCAGTGGTTAAGAACTACTTACTCTTCAATATCTTTTTTGTTTGTCACAATATCAATTTTCGAAAGAGTATTGACACGAGGGAGTTCAAGTTGAATCATTGCTGAAAGGGATGCCATGCAACCACTTATGTACTTTGTTACGTCAGTAATGAACCAGAGGAAAGGGTGCAAATTTTTCAAAGTGATAATGGCTTAAAAAACAACTGATCCAACCACATCCTAGAATAAATGGAACAAACCTGAGAATCAAGGAGATAAACACAACACACTTTGAAGTTCCTCCACTGTAGATGTTCCCCAACGTTGCGAAGAACAGGAACGTGTGAAAGTAGCTCTATCTGACCTGTAACCATAATCCACCATAATAGTCAATAGGGCTCCGGAAAAGATTTTAGAAATTAAGCCAGTATGTACAAGTTAATATGAGGGAAGGATGCTAAGTTACTGAAGAATTGCAATACTAGAACATGGTCAACCAATTGCCACAACTAGATAATTGTCGGGAGTAATCAATCGAAATCATAGTAATGCTCTGTTACCAGCACACAACTTGTTATTTAGAAGAAACATGTTATGCAAGATAATGCATAAGCTCTTCCAATCAGCTACAATAAAATTCACTTGAATTGTAGTCGCATGTTTGGAGTTAATGTATATTTAAAATGAGTTTATTCCAATGATGAACAGGAATATCTAATGGATTTGACATAACTGCAACAACTTCTCATATTTTCATTGAATGGACTATCTAGAGGACGATCAGTTGAAACTAGAAATAAACCCAAAACTGGAACATGCTCAAAGAAGTAGAAGACGAATACCTGAACAATCAAATACAAGACAATCGTCTTCCAAATAATTCTCCATGCCAGTTCATCTTCCAGCCAATCGTCCAAGCTCTCCTGAAGGTGTCTGAAAACATCTCAAGGAAGATTTGCACCCAATACTTCATCATGGTACCATTTTATATTTTGTTGCCTCGAAAACTATATCACTTACATACTTAACAATAACAGCCTCAATGATTTCAGGCAGAAAATATGTTTGTTTTGGTCAATGTTGAAAATAACGACAACGAATAACAAAACGCTCTACCTCCTTTAAGGGTTAGGGAAAAAACAGGCAAGAAAAACGTAACGCATAAAGTAGGTTAATTCTTTATTAATTATCTACATATTTTATAAATAGGAACTATTCCTAATGACTTTAATACTTGGAATCATTAAAATTTTCAAACATAAAATCTCAATTAGGAACATAATATTTTCTTACTGTTAATTTAAAAAACAATAAAAGATATTCATCACAATTTTAAGAATTAGGGACAAAATATTATAATACAAAAATATTTTAATAAAAATCTTTAATTTGATACAAGCTATATAGATTTACTTGGAAGTATCACAATCTGATACTCAGATATATAATCATAAAGTTGTAGCTCGTTCATAATTGCAATCGTTTTATCAATCACATTCAAAATTTCACAATCACATAATGATGTCAGCACAACAAGACATGAGGATTTAACAAACAGTTTAATAGTAATTACTTAACTACTTCAAGTTTTAAGAAGGATATACTCTCAAGTCTCTACAACTTATATTGAAATAGCATAAGCTATATTGAAATAACGCATGTTATACTGAAGTAGCGTAAGTTATATTGAAATAATGCGTATTATACTGTAATAACGTAGAGTTATGATGTGTCTGAGTTATTTTATAAGGTTGCATAATGTTAAGGCATGTTAGGTCACATAACGCAAACAAACGAGCATCGTAACGAGTTCTTTTAAACATTGGTTTCGATCAGCTATTAGTGTTTAAAATCAAGAGATTATGATGACACATACTAGCCAAACGAAGGGTGATCCATACAGTAAGTTAAGCCCCCATTAGGCCCGAACCCGAGCTCCTCCATAACATCATCCAAAGATACAAGTTCTCTAATATCTGCAAAATAGTAAACAAAGCAAAACAAAAGCTACCCAACAATTCAATTGCCGAAACCAATGATATGAACATGAGTGAGAGAGAGAGAGAGAGAGAACAATTTCGATACCCATTGCCACAGGGTAGTTCACAACATGGATAGCTCTTCGAAGAGCTTCGCGGTGTTGATACAATCTAGAACAGTAAGTAGACTGCATTCAAAAAAAAAAAAAATCGCAGCTTGTTATTGGACGTGAAGACATCACAGACGTGAAATCAAAATGTGAAATTTTAGCGAGAAATTTATCACCCTTGCCGCTGCTAGCGAAGGAGAAAAGAACGAAAAAACGAAAAGAAAATGGAAAATGAGGAAGACTGGAAAGAAGAAAAGATAGCAAAATCGAATGTACATATTAAAAAAGAAATTACCGAAAATTTCAGTTGGATATTGTTGCTTGAGATCGAAGAGGGGATTGAGAATTTTGGAATTTTATAGGGTTTTCCAGGGGTTTTGGGAGTTGAGGGACGGAGACCGTACAGTTTAGTGATCTAATGATGATGGGGCCTTGGTAAGCCCAATTATTTATTGGATCTCCGCCGAACAAGGAATCACAAATTAAAAAGGACCCCAAGTTTAAAGCCCATTAATGTCTGGGGCAAAAGCAGGCCTGCAATATAATCTATTCGTCTGAATTATGATATAAATGAATAATAATAATAATAATATGAGAAAAATAGAGAACATTAGTATCAAGTTGTTCTATCGAACTTGATCTGGCCCCTACATCACTACTCGAAAATAGAGGCTTAACCACTTTTCACCTACTCCAATGTAGATGTAGGGACATGATCAGTCTACATCACTACCAAGTTCGATGGAGCAACTTGGTACCAAGTTTCTCCATTTTTCTCTAATAATAATAATAATAATAATAATAATTTGCAACCGGGGGAAAGTTGGTTAGGAGATTTCTATGTCCGAAGGAGAGTCTGAGTTGAGTTATAATTGAATCTATTTGTCTCAATTATGGTATAAATAAATTATTTATTATTATTATCACCATCATTATTATTATTATTTGCAACGGTAGAACTCCTACGTTGAAGCTACGTTGAAGGAGAGCCTGAGTTAGAGCCTTCACATAAACAAGAAGACTCAATTGTTAATCCATGATAATTCCAAGAGAGCTGTTAGGGTATCCGCACCTAGCTAGGATGGTTGACCACAGAGCAAGCTAACCCAACTAGGGATAAATTTTTAAGGTGTTAGTCATATAGAACTAGAAAATGGGATATTTTTTTATAGTGTTAGTCAAGTAGAACTAGAACTGTATTATTTTTTTAGTACGTTAGTCAAGTAGAATTTTACTAGAATTAGAATTGGGATAATTGGTCATAATTATCCCACAAATTATACTACCTATATATATAACCATAAGTTCTGATATAACATGACAGGTTTTTTTGTAGATAACAGGTTTGGGGGGGGGGGGGGGGTTAGTCACCTAAAACTTTTTAAGTAGAACTGGGATAATTGGTAAAATTGGATAATATTTTGACACTGAAATAATTTAGTGGAACAATGTTGGGTAATTCTTAAAGTGGGATAATTTGGTAGGATAATTTGGTGGGATAATGATGGATAATATTATGAAGTTGCATAATTTGATAGGATAATTTGGTGGGGGTAATGGTGGGTATAAATTACTATTGTTAATAATTGTATATTAAAAATAATATAATATTGATAAGCAAATTCTAGTAATAACTATAAAATATAATGCAATAAAGCATCACTATTCATCTCAAATAATAAAATAATTCACAAATAAATAAAAATCTAAATCCCTAGAGTGACACGACTTCCATCATCCCACATGGCATCTACCATATAATTTCTCCAAGCTCCTACAGCTACTCGTTGAGTGTTTGTGGGAAAATTTTGTAACAAGAAAATAAGAAAAGAACTGTACTTGATTTTATTCTCTCTAACTGTTTAGAAAAAGAATGATTACAATTCTCTCAACTCTCAATTACAATTGGATTTCCGATTACAAAAGAGAAGAGAATGATCGGGATTCTCTCCTTTGTTTAATTCTGGGTTCTTCTTGGTAGCGATGAGATGCCTCCCTCGATTGTTCGCGTCGAGTTTGCTTCTCGTTGACGATCCGAATATCTATACTCACTGGAACAACTGTCTTGTCTGGTTGATAACTCTTGACGAGTTTAGTGATTCAGAACAAGTAACAAACTCTAATGATAGAGTTGTTGGAACCGAAAATAATTCGGTTAATAAGCCAAATATCGACTGCTTAGAGATCCTCCGTCTGTTGATTTCCCAGACTGTGTAAGGAGTCAATCCTCCTTTTTTCTGATTCTGGAAGATTTGATCGAAAGATCCCCCTCCGATTAATGAAAAGAAATCTCTCTTGATCTGATTATCAAAAATCTGATCTCCCCCCTCCAAAAAGATCTCTTTTTTAACTCTGTTGAGTTTGTTGCTATTTATAGGGGGATTAGGGGTGTAACTGCCCCATAATCCGCGCCTAAATGGGGGTCGTCGGCGGCGGTTGATAAGCTGCGTTGGGCAGCGATTGATAAGCTGCGTTGGGCAGCGATGGAGCTGCATTCGAGCTGTGCTTGGCAGCGATTGGAGCTGCGTCCGAGCTGTGCTTGGCATCGATTGGAGCTGCGTTCGAGCTGTGCTTGGCAGCGATTGGAGCTGCGTTCGA